CAGATTGCTTTTAGCCCTGGAACTGTTCATAACAAACCTTTTACACGTGCTTGAACTGAAAGGGAGTGGAGTGCATTCTGAAATTCCCCCTTGGCTAAGAACTGTAAAACTCAGTGTTAAATATTAACTCAGGTATGGTGGCTTTTTCAAGTCCACCTCTGAAGGTTCAATTAAACATATATTTCTTGGAAGCAACTGAACAGTGATTTTGTGTATTGTGCAATCTCCATTAGTAAATAAGAAAATACATATGATTGATTCAGTCCATCATTCAAGCAAAGAAAAAAAAAATTAGGAAGAGCAGTTTGAAACCTGCCTCGTGATTCTTTCTCCACTTAATCAATAAGAGTAACATTGTATCAGTTCCACTGGCAATAGAGTTCAGCTTCAACAGGACTGATTTGAGAGGCCCAGGTGAACCGTAAAATACTTCAAGAGCATATTTGTGCCCGGAGGACTGAGTGAGGATGCTTCACTCAGCAAATGAGAAACACTTGGGGTGTTCTGAATTGTGTGTTGGGGTTTTTATCCAATTCCAATTTGTCACAATAAAGTGATAGTGTAAACATATTTCTTAATACCATATGAAGTTTGGAACCCAAAAAGGAGCAGTTAGCAGCAAAGAACTTCTCTGACAACTCCCACACTACCTCTGCAAGCCAGTTCTGCATCTTTTCAAACCCTGCTGGAGCTGGAGCCTCCTCCACAATGAGGACCTGATTTTCTGCAGAACATTTCCACTCTGGGTTCTCAATCAGGCTCAGGGAATGGTAAGGAGGAAAGTGACAGAGCCCACCTCTAATGAGGAGGGCCTTGTTTTATTGAGTACTTCAGATCTTAAGGTTTCTGGCTTTGAGCTACCACAAGCTTGAAGAAGATGCAGCTGACCTTGCTCTGAGCAGGAGGTTGGATGAAATGGCCTGTTCTAACACAAATTATTTTTTGGTCTTTGAATACAGGTCACTTTTAGGACAGATTTTTTTAAAGGCTGCCCTGGTGATTTCTACCACAGTGTCATTAAAGTGCACAGATGCCATTGGATGTTCATGGTAAAAAATCTGTGGTGTAGGGCAGCTTCCACACTGCAGGAGTCTTATGGGTGGGACTGACATGATTCTTCTTTGTAACAAAAGCGAAGACAAACCAGAATTTGAAACAGAAGAGTCTGGGTCTGGACGGTTTACGTCTGAAACTACACATCATTTTGCATGACACATTAAACTACTCTATTCATGTGCAGACCTTTCTTCATTACAAGAAAAAGCCGAATTATATATCACAGAAACCAAGAGATGATTATTCCTCAGATATCAACTTAACAGCTGCAAACATTTTGCCATAAGGTGATTTCTGTATAGAAATTAATTTTCATTGCAATCCTAATGCCAACAAACCAAATGGGAATCCCAACAAACAGAAAATATTCTGTCCACAAGCCTTCTTGTCCCAAACCCCAACTTCCAGCCTGATGTACTCCATGAGTAAACAAAAATAATGGTCACAATAGGAACTCAAATGGTTATTTCTCTTTAAAGCTCTTTGGCCTGGGCACCTCTGGCTGATGGAAGGGGAGCTGGGGACTCTTAGGGCAGAGGTGCGTCCCGCGGGCAGGGCTGTGTGTGCCCGGCTGGGACAAGGCAGTCTTTGTATTCCCGGGGATTCGGGAACCCGAGAGAGAGTGGGAGGGAGGGAGGGAGGGAGGAAGAGAACCCGAGAGGAGGGAGAGAGGGAACCCGCGGACACGCTCGGTCATGCCTGGGCAGCGCTCACCCCGCCAGGCTTCCCCAAACGCACCCCGGAGGTGGAACAACGCGGCCACCCTGCCCGCACACACAGAGAGAATTCTCACTTAATCCGAGTTCCTAATTACCCTCCTGTAAATCAGAGTGATTTCAGTGAATTCATGGGAAAACAAAGGTGTGTTTCAACCCGAGGCTCAAAACAAGCGCACTTCTATTTCACATAGCACCGGAAAATGAAGTGCGGTGCAAAAAGCACTTTTTACTTCAGCAAGATTAATCTTTAGTGAGTGCATTTCAAGTAAAACATCTGAGGGACACACCAGAAAGTGTGAAATGCAAACAAAGGAATTCCATATTACCTGTGGAAGGAGTGGAAATACTCTTTCTCCCCAAGGAGCTTATGGGAGTATACAACCTCTATCATCACAAAAATACAAAAGCTTTATAAGTATATATAAGTAAGGAAGGTAGCACCACATACTGATTTTTAAAAATTAAACCACAAGGTCTCAAGTATATTCCATTATCTTAAAGCTGAGAATCATCTCCTTTGAAAATAGCTTTTGATAAATTGTTCTTTGCACAGAAATTCCATTACATATTTCAGAACGCCAGGAGGTTTGCCAGGGCATTTGATTCACTCTGCTCTGGACACTGTACTCCAATAGTTGTGTTTTTCCACAATAAAAGTAAAAACACTCACAGGTGATACTTCAAGGAGTTATACCTGAGCAGGGAATATCTCAAAGCCCTCCCTTTCCAAACAAAAGGCTGACGTAACTGGATTTCTAATAAAATATTCAAAGCCTTTAAACGGATTCATTCCCACTGAAGCACAGTGGGGTGCCGCTACCTAAGAGTTAAGACCAAATTGCTATTGAAAGATTCTACCATTTATAATGAACCAAAGATACAATTCTTGTCCTATTTAATTACATTTCCAACCACAAGACGCTGGTGTTAAGAGGATGAACACACAGCTGCTTCCCAGTTCTACCAGCACCATCACAAAGACCCAAATGCCTGACCAAGAGCTGCTGGAGGTTATAAAGACTTCTGTCTTCTAAGCACTGACTTCCAAATGAAAGTGGTCTGCCCATCTGGACACTGGGAATCACTGGAGGCATTCACACACCGCTTTGGGCAGAGATGTGCAGTCTGCAGCCCTCATACTGATCATGGCAGCTGTGCCCAGATTTTGTATCACCAACTCTTTCATCCTATGCTTTCAGGGGACTTGGTCCTGAAAAGGAGACTGAAACTTATCTTTATAGTTTGAGTCACAGAAATAAATGTCTTTGCTATCACCAAAGATATTGTGCCATCTAGTTTCTCCACGTTACACTCCACGTCTCTTACAGATCTGGTTTTCTAAATTAAATGTTGTCATACTTTCTAGAACCTTCAAGTCACACACTGCCATTATTGTGTTCTATAAAACATCTATTTCCCCAAACCTACTGTCTTTTTCCTTATTGTGAAAAACTCAAGCTTCTACAACACACTTCCCATCTCCAAACCAAAATTTTTAGGACAGTTCCACAGAGTTTGAGTAATCCATTTCATTTGTTAAACCAGAACATCAAAATCCAAAAAAGAGGGAAAACATTCAGAAAAAAAAACTTCACTGGCTGTGGAGGCAGGGAAATAGGAGTAAAATTTAAAGAATGTTTGTGAACTTTTCTGATATATCTGAAATACACAGACATTCAGCTATTTCAGATGCATCACAAAAGTTCCAGTTTCTGTAATATTCCATTGAAAGTACATTTTTCTTATGGCCAGATCAAACTTACAAAATGAAGTAGAAAAAAAGATGGCCTCATGGATGCTATTTTAGGTTATAATTCATTTGCAGTAGATGGTTTAATTAAACACATTAAATCACATGAGCTCTGGACAGAAAACCAGTCTTTTTATTATAAGAAGATGCATGTTTCATGTACAAAATCACAGAAAGAATCCATTGAGTAGAACCATAGAAGTATACCACACTGGAAAATATTGGATAGCTTTAATGTATATCTAAGGGATCACTGAAATAACTGCCTGTATCTTTTAGTTTTGAACCTTGGTTGCACAAGAGTCTGCTGGTTCAGACTTCATTATTTTTATGGCCTCCACTGTTATAACGTACATATGTGCCAGCTGTGTTTTATTTCATCACTAGAAAATTAGTTTTTTTAAAAAAATAGAAATCACACTTTTCCCCATAAAGTTGCATAATGTTTCAAAAATGCCATAAATCTCTGCGGTTGTGTAATGCATGTGTGCCACAAAACACAGCACACAGTTCTTTCCAACACCAGCACTCTCAGCTCCAAAGAAAGGCTACAAATAGTTAAATTTTTAGGCAAAAGAAGAAGGTATGTTGTAAAGTCTCTTTCAGCTTGTGAGCTTTTATTGTTTTGCATTACTTCAGTGCTGGATTCCTGATTTGTAACAAATTCCAAGAGTGCAGACTGCAGGCCCAGCCTCTGACTAACACTGTGGTGATTTATTTGAGGATAAATACCTCTGTCACATCTCAGGGCTGCACACCAGAGTCCAAGGCAGCACGGAATGCGTGGAATGCCGGGGCTGCAGGAGCTGAGGCAGCAGGGACAGGCATCAGGCTGCTGAACCACTCCATGGCTTCCTCCAGTCAAGAATGAAAGGAATTCTCTAAGTCTGAACTTTGTGCCAACCACGCTTGCATTCCCAGGAATGAGTACGCAGCAAGAATGGCATTTGCTGATTGCCCAACACGTGCACCTCACTCACGGACACCTTACCTGTCGGACACATTCCACATCTAACTGTCAGAGCCGTGCAATCCCTCAGTAATGTTTAGCAACAACTGCAGTTTGCCCAGTTGTCAAGGCAGACAAGGGAGCAGCTGGCTCACAAGTTCCTGGCCTCAAAAAAATGCAAAGTATTTGTGTTTCTCCTCCTCCTGCCTCCCCACCCCCATCCGCACAGAGCGCCCAGAATGGGGGGAAGTGAAAGGGGCAGATAACAAAGAACAACCGAACAATACTTCAGGAATTGTAAGGTGAATACGTGTGTTTAACTATAAATAGCTGAGCTAATTCCTGTTACTTCATGCTGTACGAAAACAAAAGAAAATAAGAAACCCCATCTAATCGCAGCAGCTTTTAGGCAGATCTCCCATACAAGCTGGAACAAAAGGAAAATCCAGAGCAAAGTTTTTAGCCAGGGCATGATTTGAGCACACAGAGAGATGCAGAGGATAATCTTAAATAGCGTGGCACTTACAGATGTGGATTGAACATCCGACTCATTTTAGAGACATGGTCGTTTTCACAGTCTAGCTCCTCGTCCCCTTGGTCCATGCTGAGCTTCCTCTTGTTGGGGCTGATGGGAGGAGGGCCCGTCCGGTGGTTGGTAAGCGCAGGGGACACGGGAAGGGGCTGAATTCGGGGCTCACCTCTCAGTGCTGCCTCACCTAGGGGGGAACACGGCAGAGAGTGAACACGGCAGGGAAAAGACAGGTGAAATAACATGCTTTGAAAACGTGCTTGCAGAAAAATTTCCCCAAAATTTCAAAAATTTCCCAAACTGCACGGGCACGTTCAACATGGTTGTACCACAACAATGCTTTATGCTGGCAGTTGAGAAAAGGCAGCATAAGAGGTGGGAGCTCACCTCAGATGATCTGAAAGGCTGAGCTAACTCATCTTTGCAACAGCTTTTTTTACTCAGAAACATTCCTTCGCACAGGCTGCAATTCCAACACCGAGCTTTGATTACCTCACTCTGCAAACCATGACTGCTCACAGTGAAATAAGCTTTGTTCCTTTTCTTATAGTTGTGGTTATAATTCCAGGGCTACAGTTCACATTTATGCCAAATATCCAAGATATAAAACCGAATGAACGTTCAAATTCTCAGATGATACCCTTAACAAAAAGCTGTCCAAAACAAGCTTGTCTGGTATATAACCAGGCAAGGGAAAAATTAAAGAAAAAAATTGGAACTTGCTGATGCAAGTTTTAAGTACTTTAAAACTGTGTTTTTGGAGCTGTGAACAAAGAGCACAATTCTTCAGCACAGGAATCACAGAATTTCAATTGGATAATGCTAATTTCCATCTGGGCTGACGGGGGGGGGGGGGGGGGGGGGGGGGGATGGTAGGCTCCTGAGTAGATTATAAATTTTTATATAATCTAACACTTACCAGAAAACACCATTCACAGCATATGAGAGCTGTGCATAAATAATTTCAGCAACAACAGAGTTGCCTTTGCATAAACACATTGACATATCGTTGCTAAAC